ACTTTGAGTGAATGAATGAATGAATGAATGAATGAATGAATGAATGAATGAATGAATGAATGAATGAGGGAAATGGGGTGAGAAGTGTTTCTGCATGGCTGCAGGTACTTTTCCCAAGCACAGACAGCAACCCCAACTTCACTTCCTCACAGTGTATTCCAAGGCAAATCGCACTGAGTTTAGACATACGTAAGCAAGTATGTCTAATATGCTCATTAGAATTGTAATTCTTTTTAACAAATGAACTTTCTCATGACTTAACTCTTCTATAATATAGTTATGACTTTGGCAGTATCTCTCAATACTGCCAAAACAGCTGAATTTTATGCATCTGTCTTTGTAACTCCAACCTTTATCAGGAACTAAATGTTCCTCCTATTTCAAATTCATTATGAATATTGTTTGGTATGTTTAGTTCTGCGTCCATGAACTATAAATAACAATATATTTGTCAGAAGTATTATTTCATAGGATATTGCTAGAATTGCTACTATTGTGAGCAAAGAACTACATATAGAAAGCTTTACACATTTTTATCTTTTACTGTTTAGAATTTTTAACTATTTAATATTTAAGTTGTACTGGTCATGGAGAAGTATTACAGTGCATTTTAAACAAAAACTGATGAAGCAATTATGGGATGTATTAAACTTAAAATTGTCTTATTGATTTTGGGGTTCTTTTCAAATAAAATGAACCCATCATCCAGTGAGCCACAATAGGGTGATCAGAATTCCTACCTGATCATCTTTTTGCATTTTCTCATATACTTTTTTGTTAAGCAAGATGTTCCTTCAATTTATTCTAGTTAAACATTTTATTTTATTGTCTAGTGGGAGCTTCTGTACAAGATGTGGAATTGATCCACATGCTTATGGCAGAAATAAATTGGGAGAGAAGAACTATTGATAATGTTCTAAATTACAAATGGCTAGCATGACTTTGATCTTGCACGCAATGATAGTAGAGTGAATGGTGCTACAGAAAAGGAACTCATATTGTCTAGGGCAGGATTGATTTGTAATACTGTTCTATGTGATAAATTACATAACTTTTAAAAAGTATTGTGGATGTTTTCCAACAAAAGACAGATGTGCATCAGTTTCCTTCCCTATACACTGAGAAAATAAGTAAAACTTAGTACTGACAGTATTCCAGATCTGCTTCTGTTATACTAGTGTGCAATTAATTATTAGCAAGTGAAAACAATGAATAGTCATCAACATTTTGTCCTTTATTAGTATTAACTTGAAACATAGTATTATGTTTCAAGTTAATATCATATACTGCCTAATATTCATGGCACTTTGAAGTGTGAGAAAAAAATATGAAGAGGAAACAACTTGCTTTCATAATGTTTATCCCATAGAGATTGCAGATTAATATATTGTGATTCTTTAATATTGAATGATATGTAAAATGTTTCTATTATTTATGAATGAATAGTAAATATTCTGGTAGATTCCCCTCCTTATTTTCAATTCCAGATATTCTTTCTTTATAATATTTCTTTACTTGTCAACTAAGTCTGTATAATTTTTCCAGGATGTTTCTGGAATGCCAGCACTTTGTTGTCCAGTAATAGAAGGAGGATGTGGATTCGATTATCGGTTGGCCATGGCAATTCCTGACAAATGGATTCAGGTGAGAATATGATCCCCCCCTTGCTTTGCCACTTTCCTCACCCATGTTCCCATATATGTAATTAAATACTTAGAATATGACAAATGTCTCTGTGAACTGGACTCACTCCTATTCTGTATCCTAATTTTTGCCAAAGAAAGGGGGAAAAAATGGGTCCTCTATATATTTAGCAAAGTTTTCCCAGTTTGTATCCTCAGCATCTAATTAAAACTCCCATGTGTATTGGAATTACAGCTCCCATCATTCTCAGCCAGTGGTCTCAAAAGTAATCTGGAAGCTCCAGAAAGTTATGCTTGTATAGAATACTAAGCTTTGTGTTTCCAAAGCTCAGTGTAACATATGACTAATTATTTTACAATAATATTTGATTGTTTGGCTTTTATTTTGTGGTTTTGTGGACAGAATTTTGATAATCCTTACAGCAAGCTTAACTCCTAACAAAATGGAGATTAAAAATGTATCTGTTATGCACATGAAATTGTACAAGGATTTTATAATACATTAATTGCATATTTATGAATCTAGTGCCTTAACTACTGCTAAACATATTTCCATGAAAAGCTTGCCAATGTTGCACTCTAGTGATAAAAAGTAAGACCAAACATTTTTAATTTCTTTAAGAACAAAAGCAAAAAATATGAACACTAAATAAATCCAAGCTCTTCTGTGAGGATATGGATGCTTTCATATATAGAAATAATTAAATTTTGGAAAAAAATATTTCAGAAACATTCCCATAAATTAATACATTACACATTTATAGAGATCCATGCTTATAAACCTAGCATAAAGTGACAATAATTATGAAAATAGTATGTGTCTTGAGTCAGGCCACTATATACTATAGAAATGTAAGGTAATGTAATATTAACATATTTCATCTTTGCAAAATGTGCAGTTATTTGTACCTTGAAATATGTACATTATTCCAGAGCACAATTCATTTTTTCATCTGTGTTCAGATCTCTAAACACATACTTTTGAAACAAATGTGATCTATTTTCCAGTAGACAGAATATTTATTAATGTTGCTTCAGGGTATGTTTTCCCCATCATTAGCTAATTTCTTTTTCATATTCTGAAAGTGCTATCAAAGGCATCAAAGGCATCCTGCTAGTGCAGATCTTCTATTACTTGTAAAAAGCCTCTTTCATCCTTGTGCAATTGTAAATCCATAAATCATAAACTACAGGGCAAACATTTTCATAATGTAGTATGATTTAATTATGTCAGCTGGTATTTGGGTGAGTTATTCAGCAAAATCTTGTAGAATAGTGGAGAAAGAAACCTTTGTCCTTCTGTTTTTGTTAGATGCAGCTTAAAGTTTTGGGATTGTTTCTTGTCCAGACCATGGACAGGTTTCTGTCTGTCTGTCTGTTTTTTTAATCTCATCAAAGCTACAGTACATGAAACTCTGATGCTGCTGTTTATAAAGTAATTTGAAAGGGTAAGAAAGAAAGAATTAAAAATAATAAGAGTCAGGCTGTGATGTAGGCTGATTGTCATATTACTTTTCAATAAAGTTTCTATCTGCTTTTTCATATAGAATACTGTAAATAAAAGATATACATGACTGAATGCCATTGGGAGTTAAAACAGAGTATTTTAAAGTTTTGTTTCTTATGGTAAATAAATGTGAAGATTGGAGGGTGTGTTTGTGTGTGTGTGCTATGTGTTCTTCAAAGTCTTTTTTTTTAATTAATACATTTCATATTTTTATCCGATTTTTTGTTTGTTTGTTTGTTTTGAAAGAAGCCGTATTGTTCTTAATAGCATCTCTGACTGCTGCCTGAAGTTAATATGGGCATGCACAGTGATGCTGTGAAAGAGTTCGGTCCATTGTGATTTCTGCTTTATAGGATTTTGTGCTCTCTTTGACATATAGGATAATTCCATTCCTAATACATGCTTCCATATCTTTTTTTTTTTACTGCTTATATTTGAGATAATCATAACTCACTGATTATTTGTATTCTACCACATTTCTGTAATGCTTGCTAGATCTAATGTTTTAACTCCCATTTTGCCCCAGAATTTGTTGGTACCATGATCTCACCCAGGTATTAATACTATGCAGCTCTGCCTGTCTAACTCCCCAAGAAATGGTCTGTGCCACATTCAAAACCTCTCATCATCTTTGTATCCTTGAGTAATTCCAGATATTCTTCAAGGGCAGCCCCAGGTAGCGTGAATTGCAGTACTCCATAAAGTTGGTGACCAAAGCATGGGTGACTTTGAACAATAAAGTTAGATGCATAATTAGCAATTCTAAACTTCATTTTGACACTGAAATATCAGATTAAATATATTTTTTTAATTTGCAAAACTCTTCCTGTATTGTATGCCATAAAAGCAAAATACACAGATAACACCTTCTTTCAATTTGAGCTAATACATTAATCAAAGGAGTATGCAGGATTGCATAACAAGGAACAGGCAGATTTAGTGATGAAATTTCTGTTTAGTCAACCATAAAAATAATGGCATGTAGCCCCTACTGTTTTACAGAAATAGAGAGAAAATGAATTTAAGATACGCATAATAAGTTGTTGGTAGAGATTTTGGCAGAAAAATAATACTTTTCTTCAATTTTTATGTATGTTAAAAGGTAAAGTTTCTCAACACAAGCTCAACTCCTGGTAACTCCATGGAAATGTCCATGTTATTTTCTTGGCTATGACAGAGACATAATTTCCTATTATTTTCTGGATTTTTTTTTTTTTACTTCTGAGTTTAGTTTACAGCCATGCAATTCCTGAAGATATCCTATCCAAACATTAACTAGGTCTGACTTTGTTTAGATTTTTTAAGATAAACCAAGGTTAGCCATGTCTTGCCAATTGCTGTGACGGTGCTATATTTGTTGTGTTATATATGGAGCTCATACACAGTAACTTACCATTTCAAAATTTCTAAAAAGATACTGAGCTTGACATTAAGAGGATAAATTTAAAAAAAAAATGACACAGAACAAGAATCAGAATTATTCCTTTTAATTTTCAGATAATTAAAGAGCGTAAGGATGAAGACTGGGACATGGGAAACATTGTGTTTACTTTAACAAACAGACGATATGGAGAGAGATGCATTGCCTATGCAGAGAGTCATGATCAGGTACTGTAACTACTCAGCAGTTGATGCTTACAACAATTAGAATTAGATTGCAACCATCCATGACTCTTTTTTTTTTTGCTTTTATTTCTTTAGAAATAAAAAAATAAAAAATAATGAATTATAATTTTTCTCCCTCCAAAAAAGTTCAGTTTCCAAACACAGCATTATTCTTTGTTCAGAGTAATATTGATTAGTCCTTCCATTATGTCAATAGAAAGCCAATTTGTAAACAGAAAGCCAGTATGTATAATCTGTCCATGACTGAAAATCTGGGTTGACGCTGTGTCCTGTCTTTCTATTGTAAAGGAGTAATAAGTTTTGCTATGCCCCATGCTTGATAGATCCATAGTGCTTCATACAATAATACATTCCAAATTGTTGGCATATATCACACCCACATCTTTAAGCCATATTACTCTTTCCAAAATCATATTAAGTAATTTATGAATACTAACCCAAACAGGACAATACTGAGACAAACACATATCATATACATAAGGTAACCCTCCAACAGTTCATGCTTCCAGAACCAGCTATGATTCTTAAATTGGTTGTGTGCTAATAAGTTTCGATTTTCTGACAAGAGAACAGACCTTGTAAAAACATTCATTTCACCACTTGGAAGGGCTGATTAGAACTATTATTATAATGTTAATCATATTTGTATTTCATTAATTAATAGCAATGTGTTTTCAGGGACTGTTGGAATTACACTAGCACGAACAAAGTGCATTCCTAGAAGTGTTAAAATATCTTCTGGTAGATTCAGTGGAGCTTTCCCAGGTGTTTATGCATTTATGTGTGTGAGTCTTCCAGCTGACATAACCTGTACAACACATCAAGAAGGCATGTTTTGCTGATGATAGCTTCCTTCATAAAGTGCTACTGTGAATATTTTGCGTAGTATTTTTGAGTGAACTCATATCCTTATTTCACTATAGTAGATCTCTGTAACTGAAGTAATGATTGACTTCTAAATTAGAATATAATAAATGTCTGAAAATGGTAGTTTACTCTTTCTTTCTGTCTCTTATTCTCTCCTTCCTGTGGAAATCTGTTTTGTTTTATTTATTGCTGTAGTTAAGAGGCTGATGGGTTATGGTAGAATAATCCAGAAGTCATATATGTAAAGCTGTTTCAGATTTCCCATAAATTAAAGCTATATTTCATGGCCTGAGCACTTTAAAAATCTTATAAATAGGTATTTCTACATGAAAATGTAATATGTGTTCATTGTCCTCAAGTGTTTATTGTCCTTAAATATTAACTTTCATTGATAGCACACCCCTTTGGTTTTTGCCATTATTGATCACCAGGAAGCAATATATGACTAGTTTCATCCTCACTGGAACTCATCAGGTGCACACAGTCATTATAGTTAGTATTAGTTCTTATGTGTTCACACTGTCCTGTTCCTGGTTTCAAACACACACACACATGCACACAGTTGTTAGGTAATGGTAAGCAATTTACTGAAGATTGAACAGACAAGCAAAGGAACAGAAATCAGAATCTTATTTCTCTGATTTCAAATTCAGAGCCTCTGGAGATAAGGCTTGCCTGAGTAGTATCACTTTCCACAAGAACATGCAGAAGAGAGTTAAGATTCAAGATTCAGTTCAATGTTCAAAGAGCCAAGTAAGGTTCATCGGCCAGTCCAAGGATCAGAGTGTCAGGTTTCTTACACAAGAAGAAGGCAACAGTACTCCAGACACAGGAAATCAGATGGGTCACATGAATCAGAGATGCCTCTTAAAACATGCCACAACCAGCTTTTTAAAGTTAAGGCAGGTACATTCTTGCTTGGCAAAGAGCCTCATTGAGTGTCTTTGCTATGTTCTCTACTCTACTCACCAAGTCCAAGGACTTGAAGAACATATTTCATCATCTGACTGCTCCAGCTGTTCCGATGATACCTGTGTTTGATCAGCCACAGGTGATTCCTGGCTTGGTGTCTCCTGAGGATGGCATTCCATTGGGTCATCTGGAGCAACATTTTGAAACTCACAGGTATCAGATTCCTGGGCCATGACACAAACTCCCCTAATGGAAATGGATTAAAAACGTGCAGATATACAGTGAAATTTTTTTAAAAAATTCTCCTTTGGTCAGGGCGGAGTCATGGATGAGGGCATGACACAAGGTAAAAACTTTCTGTCTCTAGTGTGAGAGCTCAAAATAAGTACATGTATACTACTCATAAACAAACAGCATACTGAATTCATCTATAAGATGTCCTTAATTTGTGTCCTATAAAACATTAATATCATGAAGAATTTTTTTTCCCTGCCTCATTTCCTGCCTCATTTATTTATTTATCAAGGCCCTTGTTGGTGATAAGACTTTGGCTTTTTGGCTGATGGATGCAGAGATGTATAACTATATGAGTGTTCTTTCACCTCTCACACCAATTATTGATCGAGGAATACAGCTTCATAAAATGATACGACTCATTACTCATTCTCTTGGAGGAGAGGGCTACCTCAATTTCATGGGTAAGTCAGTTGGGATATTATCTTCTGATTTCCTTCAGCATAGTACAACTGTGATGACATTTTCTTGTTACAAGTTGGACATGAACTAAGTAGAGAGCCAAAGCATAGTAGGCTCCTCTACATGAATAATTTCCATTAATTTCTATGGTTCTTGCTCCCAGCTGAGGACATAGGCAATAACAACCTAAGTATGGTTGTAACTCATAGACTCTTTTTATTATTATGTTGAATAATTGACGTTGGAAGAGTTCTGTTGTTTGTGCTGTTGAATAATTATTGATATATTATAATGTTTTATTAGTTTCTACAAATATGAGTCAAATGAAGTTAGTAAATTGTGTAAGTCTCTTACCAAAAGCATGTAAGAGATCTTTGTGTGTGTGTCTGTGTGTGTGTATTTATACTAGATGAATAGAATTTTTGCCTTTTTAGGAGTGGACAAAAATAAGTAGTGTCAAACATGAATGTTGCGTTAAACTAGATTTATTAAATTATACTACATCTGGAACAACATGTGAACTAATATTAATAATAACTAGTAAGTAACCTAACAATCTCATTCTTCTCCTATATGTTAGCTAACTATATTTGGCTCTGAATTTGAACATATGTGTTTGGTTGTTTTTGCTATTTCTGGCACTGCCTGCATTAAAATTTGTGCTGAAGGAAGCACAACATTCTGATTGTGCTACAGTCTGTCAGAGATAAATTCTTCAGTAACAAAGTAATAAACTGAAGGCATTTCTTCTGCCTTCTAGATGTCTAAAGTGTAAGGAATGTCCCGTTCGACAGTTACAAACAAAGCCAGGACTGGCTTGGCACATTTACATTGCTCATTTATAGTTGTCCCACTTCCCCGTTGCTAGGTTACATATTACAGATTAGATTACAGATTGCCCCCTGTAATCCCCCCTTTTGCTTTCAGCACAAATTTTAATGCAGGCAGTGCCAGAAATAGCAAAAACAACCAAACACATATGTTCAAATTCAGAGCCATTCAGCACAAATTTTAATGCAGGCAGTGCCAGAAATAGCAAAAACAACCAAACACATATGTTCAAATTCAGAGCCAAGATTGCCCCCTGTAATCCCCCCTTTTGCTCGAATGGCAGGTTCAGCCCAGTTCTCTTGTTTCTTTGATTGTTGTTGCCTATGGCGTGGTCCTTGCCTTCATCGGGGCTTCTGTCACGCACACAGCCGGGAGCTTCCCCTCGCGCGCTGATCTCTTCCTCAATTCCGCGGCTCTTTCCTTTGTCCATAGCACCCGCGGCCCTCTGGCGTTAACACAACGCATCCACTCCAGATTAGTAAAGTGGCGCCAGGTGGCCCATTCATTAGCTTGCGGTTTCGTACTTTCTCTTTCTGCGCTAGCGCTCGAGCGGTGAAATTGACTAAAGCGCGCCTGGGCAAGTTCCTAGCCATGCAGCGCCGGCTGAACCTGACATAAAGGTATTCATTTAAATAAACATAAAACAATAATTGTTTTATTTTTTCTTTTCTCATATTGCCCAATCCATTCTTAAGTCATGCCATCTTGTATTAGCTTTAAGAATAAACTTCTATATGCCTAATTGCAGATTAAGTAGAAAAATATATTTATCCTCATCAAAGTATCTTGCATCTCATCTACCCAAGTGGATAAGCAAGTAGCAATACATGAATTCTCTCTTTCCTGGTAAGAACAGTCTGACTGCTTCTCCCCCCTTTTGGGGAGAGTAAGTCATTATTTTGTAGTCATTCAAAGGACATGTGTGATATATAGTATACTGGGGTATTAATGCTATTCAGTTAAATAATTCCAAATAACTTCCCCCAAGATGCAGGAAAAACACTTGTTGTTGCCTTTTGGGTGCAGCTTGAACTAGATGGTGGAAGGAAACATTTTCACAATTTGTTTCAACTGCTTATTTGATTTATATTGAAATGCTGCTAAGGTCAACATGTGATTTTGTTGTGGTGGTGGTTTAATTTTACATACCTACATAATAGATAGGAACCAAGAGGGAACCAAATTCCTAAGAAACAAGTTTTGATATCAGTTGGTGAAATATGATTGTTGAATTATACCTTGCCTTTCAATCTCAGCATATCCAGATGAACCAGAAAGAGACCATTGTGAATGGCATTTAAATCAGTTGACTGGTCCAGGAAAGCCAACTGGAACAATATACCAAAAATATTTTGTTGGCATAAGTTATTATCTAAAGTGTTTCTAAAGTATTTTGTTTCTAAACTGAGAAACAAAAAGAACAAGTTTAAAAAAAATAGAAAGAGGGTCATATAACAAAATGAGAATATTAGTAAAAATCCTGAATCTGCAAGGATTGAGTCAGGGAAGCTCAGGAGGAGCTAAGTCTTGCTATGAATGTCAAAAATAACAAAAAGGTGTTCTTTGGTCGTATCTAGAACAAAAGGAAAGTCAAGGAAACAGTGGTCACAGAAGATGGTGATAGGCAACAGGGAGAAAGCTGAACTGCTTAATTCCTACCTTGTCTTTTTTTAAAAAATAATAACTTTATTAAATTTTTAAACAAGAAAAATAAAAACTAACAGGTACTAATATTTAAGATAAAGTAAAAAATAAAGCAAAGAAAGAAAGAACAAAGCCAAAAGTGCAAAAAGAAAAGAAAGAAGTATAAGGAAATGACTTCTGATTTTCTTTTACAACAGTTATAGTTATATATTTAAATTGAATTCTTACTCTAGAGTTACAATGTAACTCTCATTTTTTCTATCATATATATATATATTTCTAATCATCAAACCCATATATCATAATTTCATTTTATTTTGTTTCACGCAAAAAGTCTAAAAGGGGTTTCCAATCAGCATTGAATTTAATCAGTGTCTTTTCTCTAATTAAAGCTATCAATTTAGTCATCTCAGCAAGCTCCATCATCTTCATGATCCACTCTTCCATTTTGTGTAATGTCAAATCCTTCCACCATTGTGCCTGTAAAAGTCTCACAGCTGTTGTCATGTATAAAAACTTTGTCTTTTTAAAAGAAAAAAGAAAAAAAAAGTCTGATTTGTCAGAAGCAGCCTTGCGGGGAGCAGAAAAGAAATCAAAATAGGTAACTATTGGTAAGAGAACACCTAATTGTCCTGAAGGAATTCAAGTCTCTTGGATCAGATGGATTATATCCAAGGGCAGTGTTTTTCAACCTTGGCAGCTTTCAAATGGGTGGACTTCAACTCCCAGAATTCCCCAGCCAGAAAGGCTGGCCGGGGAATTCTGAAGTTGAAGTCCACCTATCTGAAAGCTGCCAAAGTTGGGAAACCCTGCCCATGAGTGTTAAAGCAACTGGTGAATGTCATCTCAGAGGCACTGACTGAAATCTTTGAGAAATCTTGAAGCACAGGGGAAGTGCCAGAAGATTGGAGAAGAGCCAATGTTATTTCAATATTATAAAAAGCAACACTTTCTTCATAATTAACTAACAAAAGATACACTTTGCCATTATGAGTTGAGTTTGAAAAATTTAATTGCATACATTTTTAAAAAACTCATCATGATCAGTTAGTGAAATTGTGTTTCTACAGATGTTGATCATGAATGAATGTCTATGTGTGCATAAAATTCAGTCTGTGAAATGAAGTACTAAATAGCATTGTTGAGAAAATGTGTAGGGAAAAGAGTCTTCTACCGTACCATGCAGCATGCTTTTCAGATAAATTTGTTTTTACAATTCAGATAATTTTTTTAAGTTGGATTGGTGGACACATATGATATTTAAAATAATATGTAAAAAGTATTAAATAAAATATTTGAAATTAAATATTGTTTAATGAGTGTAGCCCTTCTTCAATTCCCCAGTCATGTTTTATTAGCAAAGATGGGGAATAATGGTGGGTTCATCATGTTGTGTTAAACTGTATTAAAAAAAAAAATGCCTCGTCAAATATTCAACTTCCAAGCTGTTTAGAACATTATCATTTAAGGTTTTGAGATTCTGTTCCCAGTGACTAAACAATATACCCATGGTGTCTACAATATACCACAATATGGTCACTATAGCACTCCAACTTGTGTTACTTCACAATTATATTGGGGATAGTATGTAGACTAATAATTATTGACATCTTTACTTTCCATGTATTAGTATAGTCTTCTTTCAGAACTATTTAAGTCAGCAGCCATCACTATATCTCACATAACTGCAATATACATTGGAATAAATGCCTTTATTCAGGCCTAAATAAGCTTAATTGTATGTTATCAATTTCTAGAATTTTGACATCGCACATATTTGATATACTTCCATCATATTATCATCACACTAAGCTAAAGAACTCCAAACACTGACTAATTCTTCCTTGATTATTTAGGCTTCTTGCTTTTGCACATTTTGACTCTCTATAGATTTCTCCTTCCTTCCTTCCTTCCTTCCTTCCTTCCTTCCTTCCTTCCTTCCTTCCTTCCTTCCTTCCTTCCT